AAGAAATGGAGCTTAGAGATAAGGAGATGGTAAGGTTGGCAGGAGCACTAAACTAAACTAAAAAGGAAGGAAACCTGGAAAAAAAAATCAGCACGGGGAGTGAAATGACCTTTAGGTTCAAGAGCATGTGAACCCCTCCTTAAGTAGGATGAACTCTGAGGTGTGGTTAGACTCAGAATTTGATTCTGAACCAAACTTTGTCTTCCAACTTTGGGGAGTGTCCTGTGACTTTTTTTTCCCCCAGTGTGGATGAAACATGACAGTCATTCCTCACTTTTCCCGGCTGTCCCAAGCCTGACAGTATCCCAGAGAAAAGGAAACATTGAACTGGGATGAAGTCCCCAGCTCTGTCAAGCAAAAGTTGACACCAAAATAGGGCCCAGGGGCCAGAAATCTTGTCCTGATTGTCCTTCAGTTTCTTCTGCCCCAAAAGACCAACGACAGGAGAGAGACACCCCAGGGAACTTGGGGAAAGAAGTCATTTCTGACCATTCTCTGCACCAGTCATTGGTTTGTTTGTTCTTCTTCTCCAATGGATCATGATGCCTCAGGAGTAGAGAACTTTTCTTCATGTGGGATTAATTCATTCACATATTTGTTAAATGCTTACTGAGCTCTGCCTGTGCCAGCCACAAAGTAGAAAGTGTCTTGACCACTTGGAACTTATTCTCTAGTGGTGGAAGGAAAGAATGCCTAGGCAATAAACTGGTAAGCTTGTAAGTGAATGAGTAAAACAGCTTTAGTGTGGGCTACATGCTGTGGAAGCAGCCTGGGTGGACTGGAGAGAATAATTGAGTGCAGGGGTGACTGGAGCTACATCCCAGCACATGGCAGGAAAGGCCAGACTTCTAGGAGTCCATATTTGTATGAAGACTCCACAAATAAGAAGGTGCTAGTTCATCATGCAAAGTGCAAAAGAAAGAGAGTTCTGGGCAGAAGAGGTATTAAGTGCAAAGGTTTTTCTAGTAGAAAAGAGGTTTATTCCTTGAAAGTCACTGCTGGGAAGGAAGCTTGAAGAGCAAGCGGAGAGAGATCAAGCTGCTGGCTGATCCTAGAAGTTCTGTCAGATAGTGCAGTGTGTTTGGGGCTGACTGAGTGCAGTAGGGAGGAACCAAATGCCAAATCTGGGGTGTACAGTTTTATATATATATATATATATATATATATATATATATATATACACACA